GAGAGAGAGAGAGAGAGAGAGAGAGAGAGAGAGAGAGAGAGAGAGAGCCTCTGAACATGACTTTATTCGAGTCCAATCAGCGAGGATAGACTAGAAGGCTGGTCTTCAGCTGGGATCACATCAGAGAGAAAAGACCTTCTGTCTCATTGTTTCACATCACTGAAACTGAAAGGCGCACAAACATGTAATTAACAAAAACGTCAACTACTGATTTAAGGAGAAACTACATCTAATTTTACTTTGTCAAGGTGACACAAATTCATCATAGGGGGAAATCCAAACTAGACATACTTCCTGTCTTTATTCGTTTGATTAATATTACACTTCCAGAGAATAACTGACTGTTAAATAGAATCAATTTATAATTAAGAGTAACCTAAACAAAGAAGCATGCAAAAAAGTATATATATATATATATATAACCTTAACCAGAGCTACAGCTTCCCTCCTACCCCTCTGGTTCTTTTCTTCCGTTTGTTTGGGTGTCTGCTGCTGTGTGTGAGCAAAGACACAGAAACATGACGCACACACGCAGCCGCTCATTGACATACCGACACTCGCTGTGTTGAACCTCATTGGCGATCCGCTGCTGCTGCTGCTGCTGCTGCTGCTGACCGACCGTCTAATCCAGGCTTCTCCAGGTTCCCTGCAGCAACACACCGTCACTGAGCAGCCAGCGGGAAGCACAGGGAGGACGATCCGGGAACGGGATGCTTCTGGCGGCGGGGGCTCCGGCGGAGGCACCCGCTTTCTGTCCCGGCTGCGATGTCAGAGTCCTGTCAGCCGCGCTTCGGTGAAATCATGACTTTTCCCATTTGTTGAGTTTCAGAGGAGAGTTGGTTGCAAACAGCGCGTCGGATACCGGGACTATTATCCAACCTGTGGGGAGAGGAGAAGCAGCAGGAACATGTTCATAGTAATAATATTAATGCTGACAGACTATGTTTTTGAATTTGTACAATAGATAAAATCCCTATTGTACTTTATGCACCAGGACCAGGATCCGACCGCTACTCTAAAGTTAGATTTGAGGGGAAAAAATAAAAGGATATTGCTGTTATGGTCTGTGTTTGAATTTTATTGGTCAGTCCAACACGCATTTCCTCAGTGATCAGAAAACAGATCAAACAAAGGAGATTAAAAGAGACACAACCAGGACCATGATCAGGATCTTCCCGGATTTCAGCGTCCAGGTTACAGCCTCGGCTACCGGAGGAGTCGGGTCTGGCGGCGGAGGAGGTGGAGCCGCTGGGATGGTGACCGGACCTCCGGTAGGTCGAGTGCCGGTTCCGGTACCTGGAGCATCGAACGGGACCCCGCAGGGAATGTCCGCATACCAGCAAAGGTGAGTGGAGACTCAGCTGGATTTTAGACCTGTAGCATCATAGCTGTGGAAATAAAAATATACATATATATCAGAATGAACACATTTAAAATGGAACATTAGATCCTTAAAAAGTGGATTTAATTCTGCTCACACAGATCTATACAACCTTAATTTTACTGTTCCTTAAGTGTGTTTTCCTTAGGAGCAGTTGGGCATCTTTAACTCAATGGATTCAAAGTATAACTTGGGGTGATTATCATTTTTATTTTTGCATCCCTGTCAGAACATTAAGAAATAACAGATATTTGTTTCCATCTACCTTTTGGCTCTGCATGCATAAAGTACTTACCTTTTCCCTTCCAAAGATAGAGGAGAGTTGCACCTGTTAATCACCTGTTAAATCATAAGAAAAATTTACCATTATGAACACCTTTATACTTTTATTTATCGTTTTTCCATTTTGTGTTTGGAAAAAGTGGGATTTAGAAAGCTACATTTTCCAAACTAGACAAATCGACAGCATGGTTGGATTATTGCACATTCTACCTGTAGAGATAAACCTGGAATCTGGAATTTCACTGGGAAAAATGGGCAACGATGTTTTGCTTTTCAGTTCTAAAACATAAGACAAAATGTATATAAAAGATGAAAGATGAGTGTTGTCAGTAGAAAAATATCAACGCTGTCCTTTAATTTTCTAATTTCCTCCCCGCTTGATTAAGAACCGTAGCTCTTCTGTTATGACAGCTTTCCCCCTAATAATCTAAATACAAAAAACAAATCTCCAACATACACTTTTACCTTTTTACCTCTAAAACCTTTCTTTGTCGACTGTAATATCTGAGTTATGGAAAGTAAATATGGCATAAATCACGGCAGGTACCGCAGTGAAACCATCTCACCTCTGTTACCAACAGAAAGGCAAATAAAACGATATTTAACAAACACATTTTTTTCCCCATTTCAAATGTTTAAGAAGAGGTGATGTATTTTGGGGAATTTTGCCAAAATCTGTTTGTACCTTTAAGTTAAATTCAACTTAATTGTCATTTGAGCGCCAACAGGTCTTTTAGAATCCTTGTAATCATCTCCAGGGTCTATTCTAATTATTTACTTGTTTATTGAAATATTTTCTGGATGTTTACATTAAGTTTTTCAGCACAATAAAGGCACGTTTTGTCTTCGCTGCTCATGTCTTTATTGCTTTGCCGTTGAGCCGGCCTTTTTCCTTTTCTCTGTTCATAGTGTTTCCCCTAACAAACAGCTGGGAGCTAATGTGTTTACATATTATGCTCCATTATCCACATCGCCTTTGTTCGACTACTCCCAGTAAACAGAGTTGACATGCAGAGACAAGGAGCTTTCTCTAAACTGGGAATAAAAACACATAGTTTCACTTTGCAAACTACCAGGTGGAGCACAGATGTCTAGATGTCAAAGATAAAAAAATAAATGAGGAAAACGGTTTTATAGTATATCGCAGACCCCTGAAATGATCTGGCATAGAAATTTGTTGGGAATTAGAATGCAGTCAGGTCAGATCACGGTTTAAATGGTGTCAAACCGATGGCCTTTCTGTTTTGACTGGTTTGTATCTGATATAACAATCTTTGTTTGAAGTCTCCTCCAGTCTTTCTATACGTCGGCAGAAAAGAAAAGGGAAATTAATAACTGGACTAACTTGGTTTTTTTCAGTTTCAGTCAAAAAAATAATGTCACATTTTTATTTTGTAGCAGCTGGGAAAAAAAAAGAAATAGAGCAAGATAATAGAATGTGTTGCACATGTTGATCTAATGGGGAATTGGGCTCTAATTGAGGGACAACCTGAGCTCAGGTTTCTCCATCTACTGTCTGTATTTTCTGCCACTGCAGCACCTGTAGCCCTGTATGTGTGCTGATAATAGCATGCTTTTGACCTTGACAGGTCATTGGTGCAGGGAGAGGGAGGACCCTGGGCTTACAGAGCTGCATCCTAGGGGTTAATCACACAGCACACCGAACAGGTGATAAATAATACATCAAAAAGGTGCAATTTATATGTAGTGGGAAAATGGTGAAAATGTGGCAAGTTTTGTTAGATAATGAGCGACATCTGATATGCAAACATGTGCATATCTAAAGCCCAGATCATGAGTAAATACCTTGTTTTACATTTAGACTGCTATTTATGTATCCTGGGCTTTTTCTGCAGGTCTTAAAACCTTGAAATCGAAGAGCAAAGATTATTTACCTTTACCTCAATAAAGCAGCAGAATAAAGGTGGGTTTTCAAACGAGCAAGTCAGACTTATATCATGTTGAGTTTATTAAATAAAGAAGCAAGTGGAGTTGAATGAAGGGCGTGTGTTAAAGTTTACAGATTTTAAATGCAAAGTTAGAGCTGAAAGTATTACCCATCATACCTTTGCCACTTTTTCAGGTAAAACAGTTTAAATAAAAAACAATAATGATCCTATATTAACAGCTTAATCTGAAAAAACATCTATAAAGATGGAAAATACAAGAATAATATGATATATAAAAATCATATAACACACACATTCTCGTCTTGCTATATGTAGTGAGGACCATGTGTTGACTCCAGCCTTTCCTTAACCCTAACTATTAGCAGTTTAGTTTAGTTAACCCTAAACTAAACCCAATTAGCACTAAACCTTAGCAGGTTTGCTCGTCAGTCCTTAATTTGATGGTGAAATCGGAAAAAGGTTCTCACTCTGATGTCAAAACGGGAGCCCACACACACACACACACACACACACAAGCTGAGTCCAGATGTTACTGTGTGGCATTGTTGCGGCTGGGCTGGAGAAAATACTAGAGATGCGGGGTGTCCCTGTTCCCCATCCTCAGCCAGAGGAGGGAAAAGTGCTTAAAAAATCTGAAAGACTTTGACTGGAGAGGCTGCTCTGCCGCGGGGAGTCTATGGCAACAGAAGCCGGGGAAGCGGCAAGATTGAGGAGATTTGATGCGCCTGTTTATCCTTCATTTTTTTCCTGCTGGATCGCATGCTGGAAATTCTTGCGAAGTGCCAAAGACACGATGCGCGTGCTACAGATGAGCTACAGATAAGGAGACGGACAGACGGAGCCAGGACAGCGGCATCAAGAGGCATCCATCCCGGCTGGCTCCCCTCCTCATGCCGCTTGGCATGCTCGTGCGGCCGCATCCTTGCCCCAGCATTCACCCCCACGAGCCGTTGTTTCCACGATCCTGAGCGCCCAACCTAGGAAAGGACGCGCACACGGGGAGCACGCACGCGCTACTTTCAAACCCAGATATGGCTTTTGTCTTACCACGCAGAGCATGACGCATTGCTGTCAGGGCGCCGCACAGCGCCGCGGCTCTGTGTCAATATAGAGAGCTAAGAAGGGGAAGTAAAGGAAGAGGGAAAGTAATAAATCCAATTAATTGTTAGAGGAAGATGGCGCCCACAAAGCCCAGCATCCACCAGGACCCAACGCGGAAAGAACGGTAAAACGGGTTTAAATGTGTGCGTTTTTCTCCTCAATGCATGCTGCAGGTGGTAGTTTGTTTTTTTTTCGGAGGGGGGGCTGCTGGGATTCTACCACAGGAGAGTCGAGGCGTGCGTGTTGGCGCGCGCCTAAGACAGGCAGGCATGAGGCTGGTAACAGCTCGGAGACACATGACTGCTGTTGCTGTCACTGCTCTGCTCTCCTGTAGGTGTGTGTGTGTGTGTGTGTGTGTGTGTGTGTGTGTGTGTGTGTGTGTGTGTGTGTGTGTGTGTGTGTGT